AAGATGTACCAGGGTGCTGGTGGTCCAGACATCGGTGATATTGGTATGGATGATGATGGTAGTAGTGTAGGTTCCAAGATTGAGGAAGTCGACTAAGCTCTTGGTGTTTCAATGGATTTTGGAAAGATGGTTATGAAAGTGTCGAAATAGTTTTTGATTTTTTAGCATATTAATTGGTTGAAATTTACTTTTTCTTTGTTGGTGTTTTATGTGTGGTGTTAGCAATTTGGAACTCATATTGTTGTGCCCTATATAATTCATGGAATCTTCTTATTTTCCATTTTGAAGCTATCTTTTCTTTTAGTGATCTTTGTTTTGCTTTGTCAATATAGTTGTTTTTCGTAACTGGATGTGAATGTAATATAGCCGTAGTAGCAGGATAGGGGCAACTATAAGATAATTGTTTTTATTTCTATAGTTGTTACAGTACTTAGAGAATTGTCCTGTTATGGATGTCATGCCTTTTTTGGTATAAGGCACGTTTCCATACTCATGTTGTACCAACTCACTTTCCCACATTGATAGAATAGCCACTTAATTTTATGGAGAATGAAGAAACCTTTAACAATGAAAACTAAGCAAAAGACTTGATCTGTCACAACTAAATAATCAAGATTCGAGAACTAAGGTACAAAAAGGGATGGTCTTTGAATGATGTACCTCCTTTTGTCCAATCAAGTGATTAGCCTCTACTAATATTCTATTTTATGAGGTTAACGATTAATTATTTCACACAATCCATTATTAAACCCTAAAAAATTTACTAAACCTAAAATTAGATGATTTGAATAAATAAATAAATATCACTCAATTTAGATCTAATCAATAAAGCTATATATTTTCCATAAAACTATGATTTTTCATTAAAAAATATATTTTGAAATACAATGGAAATAAACATGAACTAAATGAAGCAATATCTATAAAAATATCCAAAACAACCAATCTTGTATCTAAAAGCATTTAACTTGGATTATTCAAAACAATGCACAAAGAACAAGCACATGCGAAGAAAAAAAGAAAACTTACCCCGATTCCGCCGTCACACATCCAACATGCAAATATGAATTAAATAATACACATGATCCTAAATATGCTACTAAACATACAAACATGAGACCTAAGCAGGACTTTATGCATGTTTAATACATGATTAATCTAATCTAACATGCTCCTAACATGGATTGAACTAAAACGCGCAATACAAAGCGGAAACCGTGCAAATTTAGCAACCTACAAGATGTTTTGCATTAACCTAATACCCTAGCCATGATTACATAATAAAAATAGGACTAGCAGTTATTGCAATTAAAGGAAAAGAAGCATTTACTTGTTGTTTTGCACATTAAACTGAAGAAAGCAAGAAAATATGAGAAAATAGTAGCTTTTCTTGCTTTAAAGCTTCCCTCAAGTTCTAGCTTTAATTTGATTCAAGATTTTCAAACCCTAGATCTACTTTGATGTGTTAAAGCTACTGTAGGGTTGTGATTTTCGAAGTTAGGGTTGGGTGGGGGAGTTTCACTCTTGAAATCACTCAAAAAAACTCTCAAAAGTTTCTCAAATTATTAACCCTTAAAAGAGGATGGTAGAGGCTCGATTTATAGGCAAAAAGGAGCCTTCGGGAACACCCCAGGTCACGCTAGGGTTGTGCAGCACGTCCGCAAGGGACCTCGCTATAGTTCGGACTCGATTCGCGTCACGGTTCTTAATCTTGAACCAAAGAGTCCAAATCTGGCAAATCATTTTGAGAAAACAGTTTTTAGGAAAGAAGTGCCAAACATGGACTGCTTTGCCAGATACAGAGTCGCCACCTAAATATTTTTTATGGGGGAATTTAGGAAACCCTGACTCAGTGCCGAAGGCCACATGTCCGTCATCACCGGAGTTGTCTCGGCTTGGGAGCTAGGGTACGATTGGGGAAGGTCAGCTATGAGCACCCCCTCTCGCCCGGTCCGAAGACCGGCCTCTACTAATCATGATATCCGTTTTTGAAAACTTTATGTGTTCTTATTATATGAATTAAATAATACACATGATCCTAAATATGCTACTAAACATACAAACATGAGACCTAAGCAGGACTTGATGCATGTTTAATACATGATTAATCTAACCTAACATGCTCCTAACATGGATTGAACTAAAACGCACAATACAAAGCGGAAACCGTGCAAATTTAGCAACCTACATGATGTTTTGCATTAACCTAATACCCTAGCCATGATTACATAATAAAAATAGGACTACCTTGCAATTAAAGGAAAAGAAGCATTTACTTGTTGTTTTGCACATTAAACTAAAGAAAGCAAGAAAATACGAGAAAATAGTAGCTTTTCTTGCTTTAAAGCTTCCCTCAAGTTCTAGCTTTAATTTGATTCAAGATTTTCAAACCCCAGATCTACTTTGATGTGTTAAAGCTACTGTAGCGTTGTGATTTTCGAAGTTAGGGTTGGATGGGGGAGTTTCACTCTTGAAATCACTCAAAAACCCCTCAAAAGTTTCTCAAATTATTAACCCTTAAAAGAGGATGGTAGAGGCTCGATTTATAGGCAAAAAGGAGCCTTCGGGAACACCCCAAGTCGTGCTAGGGTTGCCCCATCACTTCCTCTTGCCGCCTCTCTTTAAAACTACAGATACAATCTAGCCAAAACTAGATTCTAGGCATCAGAAGAAAGTACGGCCATACATAGCTTGTGCAGCCGTACAACCAAGCTGTTGTCGCATAATACACATGTGGGCAAACATCCCAGTCGGGTGTCCAGGTGTCAACTTGTATGCCTAAGTGAGGGGTTTCTTGCCTTTGACTTGCTTGCGACCCAAGTAAGCTTGGTTTGCCTCTTAATCAATGTTTTTGATAAAATTGGTTACGAATTTTTGAAATATCATCAGTCAAAGTTCAACTGGGCTTCCCTTTATCTCTCGAGACTAGATAACTAAGTTTGGCTAAAAACGGGTTCAGGGGTAAAATGGTCATCTTCACTAGAAGAAGATTTTTGGTTAAAACAAGGTAATACAGTAGCTCAAAACAACCTCAAATGTTTCTAGGGACAAAGTAATTACCATTTCATCATTGGGAAACTTTTAAGCACCTGAAGTATTAGGGTCAGTCAAAAATGGGGTGTCTATACTTGTTTCGTAGCATAATGCTGAATGATTGCATCTAAAATTCAATTTGAATTTTAACACAATCTAGCTTAACGTAACATAACACCGAAAAAGTTCAAAAACGTTTAACTATTTTCTTTGTCAACCATGACATGCCCAAAAAACAAAAACAAAAAACAACTTTGCTCTGAGATAATTACTATGTTATTTTACGTTATTTCATTGCAATTAGGATGATGTTATTTTCACACAACACCTCGTACAAATTAAATAATTTTGATATTTTGTAAAATATACATTTCACCATCTTGAAAAGATCCTCATTATTTTTTCCACCTTTAAACCCTAGCCACCATCAGCCACCACACACCACTATTCTTGCCTCTCTTGCACCTCTGCTTTCACTCCTTCCCCCCTCTTTTACATATGTTTAGGCCATCATATCGCTAACGTATCAATCTACTCTAAACGATGGAGAGAATGTGGTTAGATTTTGGGAGTCATGAAGTGCGCAATTTACTAGGGCTGGTGGAGGGCTATGATGCTAGATAAAGGGTGTGGAAGATTGGCAACATTGGAGAGCAAGGAGAAGGGGTAACAATGGTAGACAGGACTACAAACAAAACAAGTCAAGCCAAGATTTCCAAGGCTCAAATTTTGTTCATTTGTTTGTCGAGCTCAATTATCTAGCTTGATCTCGAGCTCAACTCAACTCAACCTCATTAATATTAATAAAGCTTCACCTTGATTTGAAACACAGTAATGAAATTTTCTTTTTTTCTTTTTTTTTTTTTGCTTACATTTCTATATATTTAAATAAAGATATTCATATAAAAATAAATAAACTGAGCTTATTCGAGCTTAAGCTTGGTTCATTCACTAAACGAGCGTAAAAGTCTAGCCTGAGCTCATTTATTTATTTAATGAACCGAGCTCTTAACAAATCAAGTCAAGTCGAGCCGTAATGGGGTGGTGGGTGTGGTTGTGACTGGGGCAGTGGCAACAATAATGGGCGGTGGTTTGGGGATTAGGGTGCGATGAAAAAGATAAATGCATTTTGATAGTTTTACTTTGGGCAAAATCTACTTTATCCATCTTTGGTTTGAGCCATTTGCATTTCAGCGCATGTCCTTCAATAATAGGTAGCAAGCCCCCTTGTAGTTTTGAACTAAAATGCTATATTAACACTGTTAATAGCAAACATTAAATGACTAAATTTCCATTTTATTTCTTATTATTCTTAGCCATTCTCTCCTCTGTTAATGCTTTTCTTTTGCTGTATATTTGCATAATTTCAACCTTAATCACATATTTAGCTGAATTAAACTTAAATACAAGTCAAACGCTAGAATAATTTGTGAATTAATTTTTTTTAATAATGTGTATAATTAACTAAAATATATTAATTACTAAAAAATAATAATCTGTATAATTAGTTCTAGTTAAGATTTTGGGTGTGAAAAAAATTAAGAAATGACAGTTTTGTCTTTTAGGTTTAAAATGTTAAAATTTGACTTTTGACTCTGTTAAAAAACAAGACACCCATTAACCCCTTTCACTTAGTTTAACAAAGTGCTAAATAGTCAAAATCATGAATAAGCTCACCGCTTATTATTATTGAAGTGTCGAGTGTACATAGTAGACTGCAAATGGCCCCAAAAAGGAGGTAAATTAGTTTTTAACCTTTTTTTGGGATAAAATTATAATTAAAAATAAATGAATAAATCACTGAGTGAATGTGCTAAAAAGGGGATGGGGAAATAGAGGCCCCCCTGCAATGCAATTATTCTGATACTGTTGTTCTTTGTCGTATGGAAGGTAATGCAACATGTTCCAAGTGGTGTGCAATGAGATGAGAACAGCTTCTTCAATGACAAATTGGTGCAAAGTGGTAGTTACACAAGTGATCAAGGCAGCTCTCAATTAGAAACAAAAATAAAATAGTTATTTGAATAATAATTGCTCATCCTCCTCTCAGTAAATATGAAAATCAATGCAACCACACAATCCCCAAAATCCGAGATGAAAACCATATATGTTTCATTGCAACAAGTATTACAAAGATGTGACTGCAGAATATTTTCTGCTCTAGCCCCGTTCTGTTTTACTTCTTCTATCCTATTCCACTGAAACTCGAAACGGTCTTGAGGGCCTCCTCTTCCATCTCTACAAGTTGTTGACAGAACGATTCCACATCACGTACCGCTTCCTTGAATGTGAACCTGAACTCCTTCCACTGGTATTCACGAGACCCATCATTCATTACTGGACCCAGAACCTTCCCCAGCACATCAAATCCTCTCCCATCTACTGAAAACATGAATGCATCCTTCACATGGTAACAGAAAATCAGTTATTTCTCTCTCACAATACCAAAACCAAAATAAACTCAGAAGGACAGAGTAAAAAAAACACCTTTAGTACAATGATGGCATGACCTTAAAAGTATTAATCAGTCCTTTGAGGCTTATGGCTTCACAAGATTTACATAATAACCAATTAATTAGCACGTAAGTTTTCAAATTTGACTAGTTTAGCATGACAAAAAGGCAGCAAAATTATATATACATGTATCAAGGTTTGGCTTTATGGTCAGATTGTAGGAGACCGAAACGTGTCTCTTCAGTTCTATGTCAGGTTCCGATCAATATGCTAAGATAACTAATTGACCTCTTGCTCGTAATATGTACAAGACAACATTGATGCTCTGAAAAAGAATTGCACTGTAAGAAAATTTGCTCTCAAGAAAGAAACGGTAAAATTTGATAGCTGGAGTCAAATAACAGAGTTCGACATATGTTTATTTTGAAGTCCTAAACGAATGAAATTTGGGGTTTCAGTTGCAAATTCAAGTCAATTTAAAATGACCAAGAATATTGATATTTTGCTTCTCAAATCTAAGAAGGGTTGTCTTTGGAAACCATTTGGAAGGTGCGGCGTCTCTGGAAAATGGAGGAACAGTCTCATCAAGAATGTCTGTTCGGCCAAACAACCACATAGGAAGAGTGAGTGTTACTCGGCACAAATCGTTGAACCGAATATAAAATCATCTTGAGAAGGTATAGCAATAATTATCATCTTCCCACCTTTGTTATAATCCACCAAAGCAAACAACAACAACAAATAGCACTCTAACAGAACATTTCTGCTTACTTTTACACAAAAAAAAAACATTGTTATCATCTTTATTAGTGTCGACAGACAACATTTGTGTTGCTTGTGCAAGTGATAATGGGAAACCAAGTCAAGCATGGATATCACTAGACTGGTATATTATTATTCTTAGCCATTCTCTCTTCTATCATACAAAATCCACCATATCCATTGCCAATGAGGATTATATCCAACGAGTATGAAAGTTTTCATCATTGCAATGAATTATTCAATTCCACATATATGAAAACAGATAACTGAAAGATGGATTTCATCAGGAAAGAAGCAATTACTGCATAAACCAAACCATACTAAACTAAGCCTTGTGTCCCACTCAAGTGGGGTCATCGTTTTCTCAGTTTTGCTCTGTCAAGAGTTATACGCCCAGTTAAATTAAAGCAATTACTGTATAAGAGAAAGATTAACCATTCAATCAGTCATTTGTAATACAATGCCCAGTCCACATATTCAATTTGTTAGTACTTGAGAGACAAAGTGTAGCAGGATCAAAACTTCAAATAACTCTCGTTTTTTCCTCATCTTACCCCTGCTGCATTATACAAGCAACACAGATGCACATTTGTAAAACTGAAATAGAACAAAGACAAGAGGATAGTTACAGCAATTTATGCATGAAATGACAGAATAGTTTAGTAAAGAATAATCTTAACGATAGTCATGCCTACTAGCAGTTACAAAGATGTCTACAGGCAATAGATGGATCAACATCTTACCTTTGCATTTCTATTCAAGTATGCAATACAGAAAAGAACAAGGGCTCTACGCCTCACTTCACTTTGATTAATTCCATCAATTAGGCTTGAAGAAAAAGGTGCTACACAAGAAACATAAAAAAATGTAAGGAAATCTATCCATAAACACTGAAGGGATATCAGTATTGAAATAATCATCTTTCATAGGTACTTACATAACGGATCCACCTTAGATGCTTCAATATCTTTTAAATCTACTTCATGAGTGCCTCCATTGCTATCTATGTACATGCATGAACTGTACAGTACATAACTTCCATCAGATGGTTGTTCACATAAGGGATGTTATAGTTCTTTTTCTTCTCCTTACAAAATATATGTATTATTTATGTATATATATATAAAGAGAGAGAGAGAGAGAGAGAGAGAGAGAGAGAGAGAGAGAAGATGCAAAAAACAGATGAATGATATATGATTTAAAATTAAAAATTACACATGGATCCGTTGTTCAGATATCATACAGAAATTTCACAAGACCTAAACTCTTAACCAGCAAAGACGCCAAAAAAGATTTAGGACTCTTAGCATAATTCTATTGACCTCACGCCAAAATGATTTAGGACTCTTGACATAGTCTTTTTTAAGGAAATTACACTCAAAAATAAATAAATAAATAAGTAATAACTATCTGTTTGTATTTGTTTGTTATAACAACTAACGGACACAAGGCAATTTAGACAATTTAACCACTCTTTTCTCTTCATTACAGTTGACAGCCACCTCCCACCCTTGCCATCGACCATCACCACCCCTCCTCTTCCCCAACCCACTGCCACCGCTACTTCTCCCTTTCCTCAGTTGACTGTTACCCCTCTCATTCCTTCCCTAGTCCATAGCCACCACCGTTAAAATGTATAAATTGCCCCTGTTTTGTTAGATATAACTAACGGATGGTTAGAATTGATACCATTTTAAAAGTTAAGAGTTTAAATTGAAATAATTAAAAAGTTATGGTTTGATTTGTTGCCAGGGTCAAACCCTAAGTCCTTTTTTGTAATTTCCCAATCTTTTTTTTTATTGGTAACAACTATTGCTATAATCTTATTGACCTGCCCAACCAATCATCTAAGATCCTTGCCATAATTCTGTTCTATAATTAATTGTTTGATTCCCCAATAAGTATACTCCCTGCATAAAGGTTTTCCTCAAGTACAAACTACAATACTGAATGCTGTGTTCTAAAATGGGTAATATCAATCAAGTTTACTTGTCATGGATTTCTATGTACATGAGAAAATAACAAATAAAAGATAAAAGGCATTATGAAGCTAAATGAGATCCATTTTCATCCCTTATAGTAATTTATATCGCGCACTAGAACTTCTTTCAGGACCTGAGATTACTATACTAATTTATATTCCGTCTGATTCATCGGACATAAACAGTCGAGGAACTAGGAAAAAACTTGGTCAAGAATATAATGTGTAGTCGCTCAAGTACTTCATACAAAATGTACAAGGTGAAAACAGTCTAGGCCGAACTTTCTTACCTTAGATTAAACTTATAAACCACATATTGTTCATTGCCATCTAGTAGCTCCTGAAGATTTTCACTTCGAGATGTACAACCAAGATTGGAAGCACTTAATACACCAGAAACACAATAATTGGACTCTTTAATCACTTTCCTTTCTGAAGATATGGTTTCTCTAAGGCTTTCTGAAGCTAACTTCACCTACAACAGAAGTAAGAAGAAAATAGTCAAGGATAATATTCTCTGGTTGATGGAATCAAATAAGTCCAGCCAAGTGTGAGGCTAGAAAATTTAAGAGTGTGGGTTAACAGTTAGCTTAGCATATAATGTTTTCCTGTGTACTAATTGTGAACATAAACATCAGTTGCAGCATTGGGTTGTATGCAGGCACAAATATCTAAAAATATGTGCAAATAATCAATCTATCCAAATTTTCAAACACCACCAGACCAACATGAGGTATAATGGGTAACAAATCTATTGAAAATATGAGAAAACCAGTGAAGATATTTTAATTATGAAGAATTGAGAGATGACTTTTTTTTTTTTTTTTTTTTTTTAATCAGGCACAAAAGAAGAAATTTTATAGAAGAAAAAAGATGAATACAAAAGGACAAGGGCAAGAAGTCACCAAAATAAAAGAGGAAAAAAAAAAAGAAAATACATAAAAGAGTATATAACTCACATTCTATAAACAGCTCTCCAAATCCCATGAAACTAGAAACAAAGGGATCCCTTTAAAAGGAGGAGCCATTGAAACCCAAAAAGATGCCAAAAAAGAATTTTGTTTCCCACACTCTCAAAATCTTCACCTTCCCACATACTAATTCAACTGACATCATGAAGATCAGATTCAAGGTGCATGAATCAAATTGCTGAATATAAACAGTTCAAAGAAAATAAACAAAATCACTTCCCTGATCAAATAAAACCAATATCAACCATAGAGTAATGAATATACCTTTTCACCTTTAAGGGGCACAACATCTCCACTCAGAGCAACCCGAGCAGGTAGCTGCATCACATAAACAAATCAAGGTCTGGTAGATTCTGATAACATATTTAGAATGGTTGCATCATTTGTTTTTATTTTCAACTTCTAACGAGCAGAATAGTTGCTAAATTAATTCAAACCAGTACACTATTATGCACACCATGTAATTTAAAACAACATAGTGCTTTATGAAACGAGGCTCCAGTTGCTAAAAGTACAGAGCACCAACCTTTTTGATAGATCTAAGTAAGTTTGCAAGTGGGCCTGGGAAGGGACTGGTCACAGCAAAAGATCCACGCTCATCAATGATAGTGTTCTGCATGAAAATAGAAGATACATTAGAAGAGCTGAAAGACAAATCTTTTGTTAAAAAAATTAACTCATCTAGAGTGGTTCTGTGAGAACACCCGTATTTTCGTACATCGATTTATCTCAATGATCATATTGTATCGCAAATTTTACTTAAATCAATTATAAAGTTAAATAATATTAAGTCACTTTAATAGCGGCAATCCAAACAATTTAATTATTCCTATGACCAAAATTCTAGATGTGGACTTTCAATTTTAGTAACTAAACTACTTGAGGATTACTTAGTTTGGAAGAAACTATTTAGTACTTGAGGATTACTTAGTTAGGAAGAAACTATTTAGTTAGGGTGTTAGATAGATAGATAGATAGATAGATAGATAGATGTTGGCGAATCCTTACGGACTTGGTTGACTTGGTGAACAGGGAATTTGCATCCCTCTAAGATTGTACAACCTGTATACTTTGTATTTGTTTCCTAGTATAACTGCTGTTAGTTAAGCCCTAACTTTTAACGATTGTTTCCTGATTTCATGTAGAATTAGTTCCCTAAATTAGTGTCCTTTGTACTCTATATATTTTGTATGTTTTCCCTCAGTTAATGGTAAGAAGAATTATTCATTTATATGGTATCAGAGCTCTAGGTTTTTTTCTGCTCCTATTTCTTCTTCTATCCCGATAATCTTTTTGCACAACCTTCATTGCTGATTGCAGAATATCGTTTGGCCTTCATTGCCTTTAATCCCCAGCCTGCTATTGCCTTCAAACACTTCAAACTTTACCCAGAAAATCCCGCAACGTTTGTTACATCCGAAACCACTGCTCAAACCAATACCTAGCTAAACCAACCTATCCACACCTCACACGGTGAATATCAGAACCTACAGCTATCATATTGACTCAATGGAAGAAATTATTTGGTATGGTCACAATGGGTTAAGGACATTTCTAAAGGGTAAGGGAAAACTCAGCCACCTGATTGATCCTGTGCCGAGTGAAGAAGATCTAAAGTTTGAGGCTTGGGACGTGTTATGTCATGGCTCTGAAATTCAATGCAACCAGAAATAAGTGGAATCTGCATGTTTTTGACAACTCCCAAAGACATATGGGGCACTGTGAAGCAGACCTACTCCAAAGTATGCAGCCTTGGTTTATGAAACTAAAACCAAGATTGACTCGACAAAATAAGTTACAAAGTCTTTTACTGAGTATTATAACACTTCGAAAGGTTTATGGCTTGAACTTGATTACTATCAAAACATTAAGATGAAGTGCAGTGATGATGCCGCTATGATATTAAAATTTGTGGAAAGCGAAAGAATTTATGAGTTCTTGGTTGGACTCAATGTGGAACTTGATCAAATTCGGGTGCAAGTGCCTGGAAAAGAAACTTTACCTTCTTTGAATGAGGTACTTCAGTCATACGGACTGAAGAGGGAAGGAGGACTGTGATGTTAGACTCTCCTACTGATGAAGGATCTGCTCTGGCCGTGGTTAAACCACCATCTCCAAACAAATTCAGTGGCCTGAACTCAAACAAAGGAGAGGCGTACAGGCTACCAATCAACAAAGAGTACCTTTGGTGCAGCCATTGCAAGAAACCAAGGCATAATAGGGAGATGTGCTTGAAATTGAAGGGAAAAACACCTTTTGGCAAAAACAACACTCAACAACGGTATGCTCTACCAGGCAGCCAAGCAAATATTGCCCTTGTTGATGATAAACCTAGCGAAGACTCAACTAGCAGCAGCTTGGAAATCGGTATATTACAGAAGGAGGAAATTGAGAAACTTTGGAGCTTCCTTACTTCACTTGACAAACCAGTTGGCTCATGTTCATTGGCACACTCAGGTAAGTATTCCTCTTCTCAAGCCCTTAGTGTCTCAAAGGACCGTAATTTGCACGGAACCTGGGTAATAGACTCAGGTGCCACAGACCACATGACCAACTCTTCACACTATTTCACAACATACACACCATGCCCTAGAAACCAAAAAATCCGAGTTGGTGATGGAACCTTGCATCCGTGGCAGGAAAAGGAACCATAAATCTTACACCTTCTCTTGCTTTGAAATTTGTTCTTCATGTGCCTAAACTTTCTACAAATCTTGTCTATACATCAGATTACAAAGATCTAAACTGTAAAGTGACATTTTTTCTCAATCATTGTATCTTTCAGAAACCGGTTATGGAGAGGATGGTTGGGCTTGCTAAAGAGAAGGAAGGACTCTACTGTCTCAATACTTGTGGTGGCAAAGATAGTGGCCGTCTACCTTTATCTCATTTCTCAAAAAAAATCTCACCAAATAAAGCACAAATTTGGCTTCATCACTTTCGTCTAGGGCACCCTTCTTTCTCTGTATTAAGGACTATGTTTCCTAGTTTATTTCATAATTTGGATGATAAGTTTTTTCATTGTGAAGTATGTCAATTTGCCAACATCATCATGTCTCATTTTCATTGAGTGATAATAAATCTTTATATCCTTTCTCTTTGATTCATACTGATGTGTGGGGGCCATCTAAGATTCCAAATATTACTAGCACTCGCTGGTTTATTTCCTTCATTGATGAATGTGCTCGTGTTACTTGGTTGTTTCTCATGAAAAATAAATCTTACATTAATCCTGTTTTCCCTATGTTTCTTAAAATGATTCAAAAATCAGTTTGGTGTTCAGATTAAAAATATCAGATCAGATAATGGGAAAGAATGCTTTAACCATATTCTTTCACCATTTTTCCAAAGGGACGGGATAATACACCAATCTTCATGTACAGATACTCCACAACAAAATGGGGTTGCAAAACGGAAAAACCATCATCTTCTTGAAACAACCCGAGCTCTTTTATTTGAAAAACAAGTGCATAAATCCTATTAGGGGGAAGCCGTGTTGACTGCAACTCATCTCATAAACCAACTACCTTCAAGAGCATTGGGCCCAATTAGTGCCCTTTCACAATTCTATCTTGAATTCAATAAGTCTACCCAATTACCACCAAGAATATTTGGTTGTGTTTCCTATGTTCACATTCACGCTCACAATCGGGGTAAATTGGATCCTAGAGCCCTTAAGTGTGTCTTCTTTGGTTATTCCTCCACTAAAAAGGGGTATAAATGCTATCATCCCAGTTGGAAAAAATTCTTTATCTCTAAAGATGTTACCTTTGTTCAGAACAAGTCTTTTTGGTGAAACTTATCTTCAGGGAGAGCATTTATTGGAAGATAAGTTTAATTTCAATCTTGGTTTTGATAATCTCGCTATTTTAGCTCCTAAAACACTCACTCCTCCTGCTGGTTCTCTTCCTGTCGGTTCTCTTTCTCCAGCAGAAACATCATCCTTGTCTCCAAATAAAACTGAAAAAACTTCTGATGAGAAAACAGGTAGTGATGTTACTACCTTACCATTACAAGTGTATTCAAGAATGAAAAGTCTGAACCTGAACCGATGCAAGCCCAAGAATCTGAACATGTAACAGGTACTGAAAATCCTCTTGCTTCACAACCTGAGTTTACAGACCTTGATATACCAATTGCCCTTAGGAAAGAAACGCGGAAATGCACTCAACACCCCATAGCAAACTTTATCTCCTTTGACAGACTCTCTCCACTGCATAGACCATTTGTCATAGATTTGCACACCCTTAAAATTCCACAAACAATCCAAGAGGCATTTAAGGATGAGAAATGGAAAAATGCCGTGAGTGAGGAAATGAGAGCACTAGAAAAAAATGATGTGTGGGAAATAGTTGAGTTGCCAAAAAGGAAAGAAACTGGTAGGGTGTAAATGGGTGTTTGCTGTGAAGTATAGAGCTGATTAAATTTTGGAGAGATGTAACGCTAGGCTTGTGGCCAAAGGCTACTCTCAGATATATGGAGTACACTGGGGGTGTTTGTTTCAGCTATTCAGAGCCAACTTATGGCTTTTGGCTTTGAAAAAGTTATTTTAGACTGTTTGGTTAAACTTATTTCAAACAGCTTCTGATTCTAACAGCTTATTTTAACTCAAAAAAGTTGATTCTGAGAAGCTGCTCACCCCTTGCTTCTGATTATCAGCTTCTGCTGTGGACATGTTAATTTATGATTATACTCTTCAATTTTTTTATTTTTTATTTTTTTAAAAATAGAAAAAGACTCAAATGGACTATAGATTATTATCATTATTTTTTATGAGAAATGTAGACAAACAAAAAATAAAAATTAATTGAAAAGGCTATTTCACAGTTTATTTAACAAACACTACTCAGCAACTTAAATCTATAATCCAACAGGTACACCAAACAGATTAACAATTTTTGATTAAAGTCATAATCTATAATCTGTTAAGCTATAATCTATAAGTTGTTTTAACAGCTACACCAAACGGGGCCACTATCATGAGACAATTGCCCCAGTTGCAAAAATGAACACTATTAGAGTACTTTTATCTTTAGCAACTAATCTTGGATGGTCCTTGTAGCAATTTGATTTTAAGAATGCATTTTTGCATGGTGATTTAGAGAAAGAAGTCTACATAGATGAACCACTGGGTTTCACCGAAAACTTAGTGTGTGCAAGTTGAAGAAAGCGCTATATGGGCTAAAACAGTCCCCTAGAGCATGGTTTGGGAGATTTACCAGTGCAATGAAGAACATGGGTTTCAAGCAGAGCCAAGGCCACCATACACTCTTCATCAAACAATCGAAAATTGGAAAAGTTCCAGCCTTGATTGGTTATGTTGATGACATTATTGTAATTGGAGATGACCTTGAGGAAGTTGAGAAACTTATGAAGCAATTGGCTAAAGAATTTGAAATAAAAGAATTGGGAAAACTGAAATATTTCTTGGGAATTGAAGTAGCATACTCTAGAAATGGCATCTTTATTTCCCAACACACTATCTACCACCAACACCACTATCATATTCTATACATATCACTATCTACCACCAACACCACTATCATATTCTATACATATCACTATCTACCACCAACACCACTATCATATTCTATACATATCACTATCTACCACCAACACCACTATCATATTCTATACATGCCACTATCTACCACCAACACCACTATCATATTCTATACATGTCACTATCCTTCACCAACACCACTATCATATTATATACATTAACACAAATTTCCAGCAAAAGGTTAGTTGGGAAACTCATTTACTTGTCCCACACAAGACCCAACATTGCCTATGTCGTTAGTGTAGTAAGCCAATTCATGCACTCTCTAAAGGATTCCCACTTGGAAGCTGTTCATTGAATCCTACTGTGACAACCCCAACATGCATATCATAATTACATTTATTTAATTGTGTGTGAATTTTAAGTTGTGATATGTGCTTTGTGATTAATTTGTATATATCTGTTTGATTTGAAAACTGTCTGTTATAATTTCTGTTCAGAATTTGAAATTGAAGGCTTGAATGATTTCAGAAACCGAAATTGACAAGTTGAATAGATTAATTGGAATATTTAGAACCTTTTGGGTAGTTTAATTAAAAATTGATTCGGTTTAGTAAAATTAAACTCTGTTTGATTAGTCTTTGAACCTTGATTAATTAGCCTAACCTTTAATTAGCATCCTAAGCTAATCACACACACACACACATATATGTGTGTGTGTTAAGAGAGGTTTGGACTCATTTTGAGTTCATATTTGCTGGAGAGTTCTTTAGAGAGAGAGAGTCAGCTCTCATTTTAGAGAGAGAAAGTGAAGATTGAAGAAGCTAAGGGAAAATCATCTCTAATCTCTGAAGATTAAAGCCTTAGGTGAGGTTTCTAAGTCTAAATCTTGTAGAAAATCCTCCATGCATCATGAATTAAGAGAGTAGTTGAATCAATCTCATGGAATTTGAAAAGGAAATGGGTTTTGAGCAAGAAAATGGGTTGCATGCATGTTCATGGAAGTCAATCTTTGATTTCATCATTTTTGGTTTGAGTTTGAAGTTCTTGTGTGCATGTGAGGTTATATCATGATATTGTTTCAGAAATTCATGAAGTTGAGGTCACCATTGCATATTTTCAAGAAAAAGATTGCAAAATCTTGCATGCATGAAGTTTTGGTTCAAATGTTTGTCAATTAAAAAGGTTTTCAGCAAATGGTTTCTAAAGGGGTCATGTATTTGTGTTTTCTGAAGTAATTCCATGTTTTTGAGCAAGCCATACATGATCCTAAGTTTTGAAATGGTGTTTGGAAGCTCAATCTTTTAGTTTTGAAACCTAGATTTCGCACAGGCCATTCGACCGGTAGAGTTACTACTTGAGCGAACAGTTTAAACATCCAGCATTTTTGCAGAACATCACAGACTACGAGATATTCGACGAGACAAGTATTTTCTGACATGATAAGATATGTTACGAATTTCCGATTGTTCATGATATGATAAGTTTTCCGAATATATACTTATGAGATGCTAAGCTATGCTATCAAATTCCGAAATGAATACGATATGATAAGTTTTTTGAAAATGCGATTTCACTAAAAATGAACGAGTTTCCTTTTAAACAACTATTGTGACAACTTGAAAAATGTATTTTAATCTCCGATAACTTCCGTTCTGTCTTCCCTCGTCATGCACATTCTGTATAAGCTATTGGTTGGTTGTAAACGTTCTGTATGATGTCGATCTTTGATGATCATTCTACATGGCTTTGATAATGTATAATCATTTCTTATGATATCGACCCATTATAGATGTTCCGTATGAAGCCGTCCAATGTGGGTATTCCGTATGAGCCGCCCAAAGTGGGCGTTCCGCATGAGCTTTTCCAATGTGAGCGTTCCGTTCAATGTGGGCATTCCGTATCAGCCGTCCAAAATGGGCATTCCGCATGAGCTCATCCAATGTGGGCATTCTGTATGAAGTCGTCCAATGTGGGCGTTCCGTATGAAGTCGTCCAATGTGGGCGTTCCACATAAGTCGTCCATTGTGGGCGTTCAGAATGCTTTGTTCCGTCGTGAACATTCCGTATGGTATTCCGTCAAGTTTTAATAGGCTTTCGGGTACTACGCAATGTGTTAAGCTATGAAAGGTTTGATGAACTATATTTGTTATTATACGTTTCCGAAACATGCCCTAATCATGTCAAGAACGTTGTATTGTTTTGATAAGTTATGGAACTCATTCCATTAACCGCTTTACATTGAGATTACTCATTGGGCTTCTATCTCACTCTTTTATATATATGTATGTAGGTGAGCATCAAGACTTGCATTAGAGATTGCTTGGAGTCAGCCCTTTTTGTAACGCCACCCGAGATGTGCCCTTCGTGTTGAGACTTTTGTTGTTGCTTTGGTCAAGCTTTGTTAAGCTTAATTTCATTAAGTTTTGTTAAGTTATATGGTGATCTTGGGTTATATATATAAGATGAATGTTTGTAAATATTATGGTATGTTATGAGATGTGTGGTATATATTTTATGATCATTTCATGTAAGCATAGTTCAATGGACAAAATTTGTATTTTGCTTCCGCTTCTGGCCCCTTACATTTATACATTTGAAAATCTGTCTGAGACCGTAGGTAATCTCATGATTATTGGCCGGTCAAGATCCAAACCTCTAGGGACGGATTCAGGTCGTGCCACCTACAATACTTGAAATCTACCCCTGGGAAGCGTCCTCTTCACGAATAATAAGGAGCTAAGTCTAGAAGCCTACATAGATGCAGATTAGGCTGGATTTGATGTGGGTGTATGGTTGCGACGATAACATTGCATGGGGTGTTAGAGAATAAGGGTAATTTCGGCATTTAGAGACCAAAATTCGATGACAACAAATTTTTGTTATCATTTCTAACAAGAAGCTAGTGAAGAGAGGAATGTGTATATTGTTAGAAAAAGTAAACGAGGGCAGTGTAATTTCAAAAACTACAAAGGGAATTCTAACAGCAGGATAGCAGAGGGGCGTCTGTGTATAATGTCAGCAAAAGTATAAGAGGGCAATGTAATTTCAAAACCACAAGAGAGATCAATATAATGATCAACTACCTAAGGGGAGGTCCATATAATTAGCCCAAGAAAATACTATTTCAGCCGAGGTACAACTTGAGTATATACTAGGTAATTCTGACTGAAGTATATACTTGGTAACTCTAGGTACGGAAACAATTAAGAAAAAAAATAATATGGGTACTTCTTTTGTGTACCCGATGGTACGAATACAGAAATACCATGCAAAGTACTAGTACCCAATACGTACCTTATATGAACACAATATGTTTTTTGAAGTACTCATGCTTCATAGGACTACACAGTCTGATTCTTGGTTGCTACTATTGTTTTGTCTTGGTATTTGTGTGTTTGTCTATATGATGTGATTTGAAAAAATTTTGTTGTGTCATTTATGTTTTTTTCTATACATCATGCTTTAATTTATTGATGCCTTATTTTCATTAATTCCTGTTTGTTCATATTTTCGGGATATTGACTATGTTTCACATGAAATTAATACTCTTGACAACAAGTTCATCAAATTCAAAAGTGCTTATTGAAACGAGTTATCTTCTAACTGATAGATTGATTCGTCATGTGATCATTTTACTTGTTTCAACTGAATATTGGAACACGCATTTTCAGCTATTTGTCAAGACAAAATTGCACAATAGGATGGTAGATGACTTTCTAACTAATCACTTAATCACATAAATCACATAAATCAAGAGACATTGCTTGAGGTTTTTATGTCCAGTCTATCATAGATATTTTTCATACTATGAAGTGTCGAGCACAACATCATATGCTTACCTTTAGTAGATAGGGGTATGCAAATATCTAATATCCTTTTGTAAATTAACACAGACAACAGAACATGTTTGATTTTATGATCATATTATTATACACAACTATATTGACAAAGAAAATCTAGTTAATACTGATATATTATTCACTTCTTTTTCTTTTTTTCTTTTTGTCCATAGAATTTGATTTTGTATATTTGGCAAAAAATTTTGATTAGGAATTACATGTGCACAGCACAAATGAATAAAATTTGGACTACACAATTTCATCCAACTCTCATTTGCCATACGATTATGAGAATTTGCAAATTGAGCCATCTGGATGAGCAGATTTCATATTGTTTGATAACATTTAAACACACTTCTTGCTTATCTTTCTTTTTCTTTTTCTTTTTTTCTTGGTTCAACAATAGGGCATTTCAAAATTTCGTACAAGAAACTTTATTTTAATTCATATATTTTGGTGACCCTCATGGCACTGGCAGCGCCCCCAAATCACACTACAAACATTTGTTTAAAAGCTATGTAAACACTACGAGCTGATTCAATTTTATGGGCACCCACAGACTATCAAATAATCAAATAGGATGAATCAAAATTTGTCAACAAGAAAATAGAATTAGAAAATAAACAGACGGGAAGCTTCAAATCAGTAAATAGATAATAGAATCACAAGACAAGAGGAATAGATACCACATTGTGAAAGTCCTTTTCAGGTACCCAAATGTATGGCTTCCCTCTCTTGACAAAGTACTTAACCATTGAAGTATAGATTTCCTCCTTGCTGAAAACAACCACCATTGTTTAAAGTCACATACAACCAAACCCAATACTTGAGACACCACAGAAATGTAATTTTTTTTTTTTTTTTTGGGTAGTCCAATCAGAAGAGACTAAGTTGTTAAACCAATTACCTTCCTTTGGCGTCGGCTTTGATTGTATTAAGGTTGCCTTGCCAATTTGATGCTAAAATAGTCTGCAAAATAATAGTTCTTGTTAATAATTCAGAGTCATAATTACAAAGATAACAAGTGGGTGAAGATCAGAAGTAAGACAAATGTATATATATATATAGGGAGAGAGAGCGAGAGAGACTTTGCATTTCTCAGCAAGTGTTAATAGTGTTGCCTTGTTGCCCTTCATCGCTCTCGGGAGTATATGGAGCTATTGCACGACAGGTGCTCGTTGAAATGACTTTGAAGGAAACACAGTAATCAGAGGGGCTTGAGTTGGTCACTTCGCACGCAGTCAAGGGTGCCTAGAGAGAGAGAGGTTTTTTGGGGAGCTGTCTGTAGTCTGGGTTTTAGCCTTTCAGGTTTGTCACGCAGACCGACGGGCGACAACTCCCGCGTTCAATCAGGTTTTTTTTTTTGCCTTTTTTTTTTTTTTTTTTTTTTTTTTTTTTTTTTTTTTTTGGAGAAATAGCATTAATTTACAAATTTTTTTAAAATAAGTTATTTTTTAGAAAATGATACAAAAATACGTCAAAATAAACAGTCCTAATGAAAAAAATTATAAAATTATGTTTCAATGTTGTAAAGTTTTCTATTAATATGTTAATAATTTTTTAAGATTTTACTCAAATGATATTTTTCCTCTCTTTTTTTTTTTTGAATCATGTTTGGTCATATTACAAATTACTTGTGTTAGAGCATCTCCAACAGTTCATTTCTTTTTTCATCAAATTTGAATAAAAAATAATTGATTTTCTCAATCTGATACGACTAGCTCCAACGGTGTGCACCAAAAAGAAAGGGGAGGTCAACCGGCCGATCGACCGGTAAGGTTTATGAATTTTTTTTTTTTTTCCCCTCTTGATTATTCCTGTCAAAACCTTTTATTTGTTAGTAGACATTGCTAAGTTGTGTATCTTCTTTATCACCTTCTTCTCTAGGTTCTTTATGCCAAGTTTTGGACAGCCCAAATTCAGTCATAAACTGAAGAAAGTGGGTGTTGGAAGTTGGGTTTTTAGTCATAAACTCCAAACCTCAAAATTGTATCCATGGCTGAAGTTGTACCTTAGAGTTGATGCAACCAAAGGTTTCTCTGGAGGCTATCATTATGACACTAGAGGAATGCTCAAAACTGTAAGTGCAATCCCTCTACATTTCATTCTTTGCAATTTTAAACTTGTTCTAGGATTTGGTCTGTTCTCAAATGGCTAATTTAAAGGAAAAATGCATAGTTTGGCTCATACTGTTTGGGAAAATGTAATTTGAGATGTGCAGATAGAGATTTGGTAATCTCACTTGACAAAATGATACTGAAAAATCTAAAATCCTGAGATTTTTAAGGTCAGGGTCATCTGGGGGGTCGACTCCGGGGTCGTCCGGTTGGTCGACCTCCCAGTGTAAAATCTATACAAAATTTTGTCAAAATTGGTCATCCGGTGGGTCATCCGGTTGGTCATCCGGTAGTAAAAATACAACGGTAATAAATAGTGTTTTGGTGAAAGACCCAGCGCATTCTCATTTTGGTGAAACTTTTGGTGAATTCTCATTTTGATATCAATTTGGTGAAACCATTGAAGTGAGAAAAAAGTGAGTTTTTCATCAAATTTCAAATCTGATGGAGGGTTTGATGCATCGTTGGAGATAGCCTTAGGACTAGGAGGGTGCTATTGTGACGCACTTGTCTCGATTTTATTTTGATAATCGAAATTGTTCATATTATAGAGTTTGTCGTATAAAAATGAAGTTAATCGGACATGTGTAACTCCGTGATCGGACTATAATTGTTTTTAAAAAATTATCAAAATTATGTTAATCATTTATTTATTTTTAAACATAAATGTGGTCTTATTATGAATTATAAATATCTAATTGACTTTTTTTTCATAAATAATCTATTCGACATACCTTACAATATGAACGATTCAGATTAACAAAATAAAATCTAAAAATACTCCTACGAGCTCATAACACGGTGCTGTAAGCCACAGCAGATCAGACACTTGCTCATAAACTTATGAGCGGCTGAGTGTTAGCATTTTGTAATAGTTATAGTCAATGCCAGTTTAGTGTCAGATCTGGAAAATATCTTATTAATACTATATATATGTTTGGTTAATCTAGAAGGTTATTTTGCTAAAATAGAATGAAACACTTTTTTTTTTCCTTCTATTTTTTTATTTAGTTTATTCAAACAAGATAGATAAAAAATTATATATCTTTTCTTTTTATTTATCCAAACAGAATAGTAAGAAATCATAATCATTTTTTTCTTTTCTTTTCTTACCGTTTTTGACGCCCCAAAAATTTATGATCCATTTTAATAATTACCAATCATTTATTATTATTCAATTCCGTTATATAGTGTGATAAATTTTGGTGAAACTTTTGGTGAATTCTCATTTTGATATCAATTTGGTGAAACCATTGAAGTGAGAAAAAAGTGAGTTTTTCATCAAATTTCAAATCTGATGGAGGGTTTGATGCATCGTTGGAGATAGCCTTAGGACTAGGAGGGTGCTATTGTGACGCACTTGTCTCGATTTTATTTTGATAATCGAAATTGTTCATATTATAGAGTTTGTCGTATAAAAATGAAGTTAATCGGACATGTGTAACTCCGTGATCGGACTATAATTGTTTTTAAAAAATTATCAAAATTATGTTAATCATTTATTTATTTTTAAACATAAATGTGGTCTTATTATGAATTATAAATATCTAATTGACTTTTTTTTCATAAATAATCTATTTGACGTACCTTACAATATGAACGATTCAGATTAACAAAATAAAATCTAAAAATACTCCTACGAGCTCATAACACGGTGCTGTAAGCCACAGCAGATCAGACACTTGCTCATAAACTTATGAGCGGCTGAGTGTTAGCATTTTGTAATAGTTATAGTCAATGCCAGTTTAGTGTCAGATCTGGAAAATATCTTATTAATACTATATATATGTTTGGTTAATCTAGAAGGTTATTTTGCTAAAATAGAATGAAACACTTTTTTTTTTCCTTCTATTTTTTTATTTAGTTTATTCAAACAAGATAGATAAAAAATTATATATCTTTTCTTTTTATTTATCCAAACAGAATAGTAAGAAATCATAATCATTTTTTTCTTTTCTTTTCTTACCGTTTTTGACGCCCCAAAAATTTATGATCCATTTTAATAATTACCAATCATTTATTATTATTCAATTCCGTTATATAGTGTGATAATAAATAAAATATTGTACAACAATCTCATAAATTAAAATGTAATTCTTTCTCATTCAAATGTCAACAACAAAATTTCTAAATGTCTTACCTTAAATACATGATTTAAAGTAAAAAGAGAAGGCAACAAAAGAACCCTATCTTTCAGGGCTAAGGCCTTGGTTACAATAAAATATAATCTTATCCCGAACAAGTAAGCTTAATAGCGGTAAACAAAGAAAACGTCAAAATGAGCTTTTGTGCTTGTTTCTCAACAGGGAGAGGCACATCAGTATAAACCTGAAAATTTGAATATCTAGTCCATAAAATGGAGTGCGTTTGACACCTAGTAGGAATAATTTTAACACAATATATAAATGTTTATTATGATTATGATCATGCAATGCAATGTCATGCACAAGACTCATGACTTCCTTTAAAAATCAATGCTCGATGTATAATTGCAAAGCCATGTTTGACTCAAACACTTGGACAATTATTATACCTTCTAAATTCTTTTTGTGATAAAAATCCACAATGTGTGTCACAAAATACTCTTACATTTACTAGCAAGCACGGAAGGGTAATTAGGCACCTATCATACTTTCCAAAACCATTTCCACATTTACCAGCATCAAGTACGGAAGGGGCAATTGGATACCCATTACATTTCGAAAACATTTCCACATTTACCAACCACCGAGCATAGAGGGGCAATTGGACAGCCAACAATATCTCTCACATTTACTGGCATCAAATACGGGAGCGCAATTGGGCACCTCGACAACATTCCGATAACATTTTCACATTTTCCGGCTTCTGAGCACAAAAGGGCAATTGGGCACCTCAACACACACAACACAACACATTTTCAAAACTATGCACACTTTTAAATAACTAGGCACTTGATCCAAAGCCAAGAGAATGCAATGCAATACATGAGTTTTCAAATGTTTTGCCCCATCAGCAATCCAAAAATAGAATAGTTATTTCTATCAAATCATTAAAATAACAACACAATCAAGGGCAAATTGCCCACAAGTTTTTTTTGAAAAGTATGTATTCTATTTAATTCCAAAACCTTTTAGATAAACCTAAAAGTCCTGTGTCAATTTGTCTTCTCCTCTTTCTCAACACCTTACTTCTTCTCTTTATCTGATATCTGGCAATGATCACGACCATGCCTTCCTTCTTTTCTTTTTCTTTCTAATCTACAGTCACGGGTGACCCACCACCACCATTGATTGGGATTCACTGGCAACCACTGAACACTGACTCATTGCTTCATACTCATCGGCAACAAATGAGATGAGTTTTTGACAAAGAAGATGAGTAAATCTCTGATGCAAATCTACTTAGATCTACATCAGATTTGAGTAGATCTACATTACATTCGGCTAGATATAAACCAAAAATAGTTGCCGAAGTATAAGCCTCTCTCTATATCTATTTCTTTCCTTCGATCTCTCAATTTTTTTTCCTGTACAATACACATCTATTTTCCTGTTATAATGGATAAAATTTTCAAGTTCTGAATAAGTTGTTTTTGAGTTTTAGTTACATGAGGTGAAAACTGTAAAATTTTACAGTTTCAATTTTTTTGGTGCTAAAATGAATCATTCTTTGGAATTGTAAAATTTTGTAGTTTCATAACTTTCTTTAGAACTGTAAAATTTTTCAGTTTCATAATATATTTTTCAGTTTGATTAATAAGGATAAATGCTAAACAAAATCATGCTTTGAAACTATAACATTTTATAGTTTCAAAGCATGCTTTTTAGATTGATCAATTTTGAAGATTATTTTCTTAAACCCTACAGAAATTGAAAATGACATTTTTTTTTCCCATTGTTGTTGTTTGTTGTTTTTTTTTTTTTTTTTCTTCTTTTAGTTTATCAATGTTTAGCACATTTTGCTATGTTTTTTTGCTCTAATTTCTCAAATTTTTTTCTAGCAATATTCTGGACATTCCGATGAGTCTTTCAAGATATTCTTGACACCTAGCAAATTCAAGACATTTCGGCGACTTTCGGTATCGTTCAGAATACTCCGACGATACTCTAGCAAATTTCCGGTGATGTCGAACATTCCGTTGAGTCTTCGGTGAATGTCTAACGGAAGTCTGACAGTGGTGGGATGTAGCAGCGTCTTTAAATTAAATTTAAAAAAAAAAAAAGTTTTTTTGGTAACAATTAAAATATGCAGGACTA